TATATATATATATATACATATATGTTATATATATACTAATAATATATCTTGCTACAGAGTTATTGTTTCTATTATAAATTCCACGCTGGATGTGGAGCTGGTGGGCGAGGGTGGAGAGATGTCGGGGAAGGGGTTATTAATAGGACAAAGGGGAAGGAGTTCTCCAAGGAACTCCACGGGAGAGGTGTAGGCGCTGGGAGATCTAGAAGGGATATCTTCGAGCAGGAATTCCACGCTAGACGTGGAATTGGTGGGTGAAGGTGGAGGCAGGAATTCCACGTCGGACGTAGAATTCCCTGGGGAAGGGACGAAAAGAATTTCCTCGAGAAATTCTACGTCGGGGATCTCACCAAGAAACTCCACGCTGGAGTCAGAATTAGAGGGGGAATGGGGAATAAAGTCGATGGGAGAAAGTACTGGGGAATAAGACGGAGATGAAGAGTATGTCGTGGTAGGTGGAGAGGGAGGAAGGTGGTCGTACGCAGGGGGAGAGAAGTCTAATATCCAAGGCACTCGAATATCCGCCTCTAATTCAAAGATGAGCTGTTGGGCGAGTTGGTGGATCTGTTCCAACCCCCCGTCTAGCTCAGCGAGCGCAAAGTCTTGATCCACTGTAACCGTGGAGTTTTATCGTGTTAGTCGCGGATTTTACGAATCTTCTAGTTTTATGGGGGTCACTTATATACTAAGTTCTAGGCCTCGATTTAGGTGGTGGAGAAAAGAGGACTTACTCGTAGTTGATGTTTAGCTCGTGACCGGTCGTGGAGATAGGCGATGGTCGAGGAGTTTATCGTCTTCCTCTATAGGGCTGATTGCCGGGGCACTCGTGGAAGGCTTCGGCAGTTGGCGATGGACGAGGAGGTTGTCGTCTTCCTTATGGTGATGGCCCTTAGACGTTTTGAGAAAACTCTCACACGACTTATGTCACAGGTTTCTTTTACTAGAGAAGTTAAGTGCGCTTTCCTCCGCGGAATCAGGGTTTATATACCCTATTTTTCGTAGGGGGTGGGTTGAATACGCTGATTTGGCTGGCGCTTATTGGTGGATCGGAGCAACAATTTTCTAACTTATTTTCTAGTGGGGATTCGGTGGCGCCCGATTGTCGCCTGTTTTTTTGTGACAAAGGGTACCAGTCCTCTCATCGTTTGCTAATAAAGTAAGTTTAATTATCTCTTCTAGAGCGCGGCTGTAGGTCGTAATATGGTGACGTTAATGTGATTTGTCAATTAGAAGGTCTGGTTCCACTTGTCATCGTGGGTTTTGAGAGTTTGACAGATCATAAAAATGAAGAAAGATTGTTAGTTCGTAGAAACGAAGATTGTTAGATCGTAAAAAGGAAAGATGGTTAGATCGTAAAAAGGGAAGATTGTTAGATCGTAAAAAGGGAAGATTGTTAGATCGTAAAAATGGGAGATTGTTAAAACGTAAAAATGAAGGGGAATAGTTTATCTTGCAGCTGTGACCTCTCATGGGTCGACAACCTCTCATTTCCTTACTGTCTTCTATTGGGGGATCATTCGTGGGAACGGTCGCAATGCTATTTTTAGGAAAGAAAGAAATCGTGAAGTCCACTGGACGTAACATATGTTATTGCGAACAATATTAGGGAGGTCCCAGGTTCGAATCCTGGCTGGGGTAACATTTTTCGCAATAAGAATTTTAATAAGGGGGGAAAGGGGGGAAGGGGGTTATCATATTAGATGCTAATGTATAGCATTATTAAAATAATTTATAAACGTGAATTCACTGACGACAACACTTCCACTTACGGGGATTGACCTGTGTTAAAAGACTGGTATGTAACTGGCGCACAGGACAAGATGGAAAGAATACGGTATATGGATTCACTTATTAATTTAATTTAACTGGCTACTTACATCTATGCCCGGTCCTAAACGGCCTCTTTAATTTCTAATTTGATTTTGTTCGGTACTTGATTGCCGCTCGAATTTGGCGCATTAATGCCCCTTTCTAACTCGGGCCCTTTCGGTTTTCGAAGCGCACGCTCGGGCGTTTCCGTGATTGGACCCCCCTCTTTTCTTGGGTTCAGGACCGGTGCCCGTACGTGCTCGGACCGGATTGTGTGCTAGAACAAGCGTTGGACGATACCTCGCTCGAGTCCAGAGCTGAACTTGTGTGACCGAGTATTCCCGAAGAAATACATATTCAAACGAGAGTAACAAGCCTTTTCTTACTCGACTGCGTGGCCACGAAGCACTCTTTCCGCGGCCTACACGCAGGGCGGCTGCACATCACCGCACCACACAACAGATTTTATATCTTTAATTTCTAATTTGATTTTATATCTTAAAGGACCTAAGTTAAAATTGTAGTATTGTGTGTTTTCTTTACACCGGTTGATTTGTATCATTATTCTGTTCAAAAAAGTATTAAGGTAAGATGACAAAAAATGAATATTTTACAAGATATTTTGTAATTTAAGTCAAAATATTGGAACTTTCAAACCTTAGTAACTCAAAAAGTTCTTAATAAAAAAATACTTTATTATAGCGTTTTGGAAAGCTTTCGAGGTCAGCTATAAGAATATGTAATAAAAAATAGGGGATGCCATTTGTTTGAGATTCCTCCAGTTATCTCAATTGTACTGCCCTCGCCATCTCACGGTTATTCGCGAGGCCCAGTGGTACCGCGCGCGCGACCGCGCGACCGGGTAACGAGCACGTGTCGGGCCCGTGAACATGGCTCGGGGGCTTGCGCGCGGGCTCAGTGAGTTCAGTCGTCGTGTGAAAGCAGCCGTAATAAGCTGTGGTAAAGTTCGCATCGGCTGACTGAATGATCGTGCTCGCGCTCAAGTGCTATCTCAGTGCCATCTCACATTGACAATTAGTGCTCACCCGGGACAGACTCATTAGTTCAGTGCTCAAATCGAGTGCATCGGTGTTCTGCGCAAAGGCCTCTCATTCTGTACGTGCACGCTCGCTTGTAGCCGGCCACCGGCTCAACGGGCGGCACACCCCCGACGGTCTTGAGCGAACAAGAGAGCTCGACGGACTCGCTCACCTCAATCATACGCCACAGTAATTCTCAACTGTACATAATGTAAATACGATTAAACGTCCAACTCATTTTAACAACCGAATCGTAGTCATTCTCGCCACGGTGCACGTCCTTTCTACCCCCCGATCCACTCGCCGCGCTCACGGAGATTTCGCGATCTTTCGATCTCATGACGAGGTTCGAAAGGGAGGAAATTTCCCAAACACCATTTTAAAAAATTGGTGTGACCTTTATGTGACCTTCAAATAATTCTTCAAGGTCAAACCAATGGTACCATCTTATGTCTCCCTCGAAACCATACAACTTTTGTCTGAAACATTTTTGTCTGCTGGGCTCAGTTTTCGAGATATTTTACTGTCCAAGTTAAAATGGGACACCCTGTATACCCTTTCCCCTTGTTTTTATCATTTCCAATTTGATCTGTGATCATAAACAAAACATTAGTTTCCGAATGTAATATATTTGTTGTAGTCAATGAGACGCAAGGTTGAACTTGTGATTAGTTATTTATTAACTAGCTACACGTATGTGGAATATGCACGGTCGTCACAGTGATCCAGCTCTTACGCCGGGGGGGTCTCTATGTAGTGCGCGTGTGTCTCTAGATGTGTGACTCGACGGACCGCGACGGGACTCGCGGCGGTGACGCCCTCTGTTGGCGCTCATACAACATCTCCCCTTGAAAGTCAATAGCCGAGGCGTTTTGGAGGCCTGGACATTCGGCCTGTACGCGTTCGGTAGTCCTCTGGTACATCCTGCGAATCCCCTGGTTTATGGTCTGGTGTGGTTGGTTCTCTGGGAGGGGACCTGATTGTGTTACTTCCTTGGGGCAGGGGATCTTCCGGTTGGCTGTGTGGTACTGCGGTAGCTTCTCTTGCTGGCTGTGTAGGGACGACTGTGTATCGGTTACGCCTAAGTTTGTTCGTATCTGTTTGTATGATGTACGATCGTGGTTGTTCGGCTTTTTGAATGACTGTGCCGAACTTTTTGGCGTCTTTGATAAACACCCGAGTTCCAGGGGTTAGCTCGGGAAGTTGTCTCGTTCCTTTTGATTTGTTGTAGTTGTCTTCTATTCTTTTCCTGCGTCGGTCTTCTTTTTCCCCAACTGCTTCTTTGCATACTACTCTTGGTTCGAGGTTGCTCGCTGTAGTAGGCAGTGTGTCCCTCAGTCTCCGGCTCATAGAAAGTTCCGCGGGTGAGTATCCATTCTTCAGCGGGGTATTTCTGTAGATCAGTAGGCCTTTGTAGGGATCTCCTTCCTTGAGGAAAATTTTCTTGACTAGTTGGACTCCGGCTTCCGCGAGCCCGTTGGATTGCGGATATCCGGGGCTTCTCGTGATGAGGCGGAATCCGTATGCATCTTGGAAGTTTTTGAATAACGAGGACCCATGGAACGGGTTGAATTGCGTTCCATTATCGGTGAGTATCTCTTCGGGAACTCCTTGTCTAGCGAAAATTTCGGACATTTTCAGGATGACGGTTTCCATTCTCATGTTTGGGACCTTTTCAACCTCGGGATAGCGTGAATATCTATCGATGATAATAAGGTACCAGTCACTTCTCAACTTAAACAAGTCCATGCCGACCTTCTGCCATGGTCGATGCGCTTCTTCAATTTGGATGAGAGGTTCGTGGCGATTATCCCTGTATTGTGCGCAGATTTCGCACCTCATGACGGTCTCGGCGATTTGTTTCGACATGCCCGGCCACCATATGACCTGATTAGCTCGGGCTCTGCACTTTGTGATGCCGAGGTGTCCTTCGTGGATTCTGCTTAGCGTTTCCGAGTGCATTGCTCGCGGGATTACGATCCTTGACTCGTAGAACAGCAGGTCGTTCTGGCACGAGATGTCCGATCTTTTCTCGTAAAACGGCTTCAGATTGGCGTTTAGAGTTTCCTTGTCGGGCCACCCGTTGCGAATGTAGACTCGTACAGCTGCTAGTTCGGGGTCTGCTTTCTGTTTTTCGATAATTTCGGCTAGTTTGTCCGGTGATACGGGTAGGTGAGTGATGGCCCCAATAACGTGGTTTTCGACTTCATCGAAAAGTTCGTCTGGATCTTTTTGGACCACTGGCTGCCTAGATAGTGCGTCTGCGGTTACCAAGTCCTTGCCTGGAACATGATTAATTGTATAATCAAACCTCATTAGGCGGATACGGTACCTTTGTAGCCGAGGGGACAAGTCGTTTAGTGACTTTGTCGTGAGGATGGGGATCAAAGGCTTGTGATCCGTTTCTAGTAGAACCTCGATGCCGGTTAAGTAGTCGGAGAACTTCTCGCAAACGTATGTGACAGCGAGGGCCTCCTTCTCGATCTGAGAATATCGTTTTTCCGTCTCCGAGAGTAGTCGGGATGAGTAGGCGATAGGTTTTATGCTGCCGTCCCGCTGTACCTGAAGTAAAGCCCCTCCTATCCCGAAAGACGATGCGTCGGCCGTTACGATTGTTTTCTTCGCTGGATCGAAGCGAGCTAGTGTGGGAGCCGTAGTCAGCACCTCCTTTATTTTAGTGAAAGCGGACTCTTGATTTTTTCCCCATATAAATGCTATGTCTTCTTTCAGGTGTGCCTGTAGCGGTTCCAAAATTGTCGCTTTGTCGGGGATGGCCTTCGCCAGGAAGTTGATCATGCCGATTAATCTTTTAACACCTTTCCTGTCCTTTGGTGGTTCCATTTCGGTAACTGCTCGAATCTTGTCTGGATGTATCCGGGTTCCCTTTTCTTCGATAAGATGTCCCAAGAATTCGACGGAACGGGAGTTGATGACTAGCTTCTTCTCATTTAGTGTCATCTTGGCTTGCTGTAGTTTGGTCAAAGCTTGGATTAAGCGTCGGTCGTGTTCCTCTTGAGTGTCGCCGTACACGAGGATATCGTCCATCAAGCATACGATGCCGTCGCAGCCCTTTAGTACCTCTTGCATCTTCTTGTGGAAGCGCATGTGATCCCGAATGGTAGGCGGTTGAAGCAAAACCTTCCGAATGGTGTGATGAACGTGGTGTACAACCGCGACTCCTCGTCCAGGACTGTTTGGTAAAACCCTGATGCTGCGTCTAGCTTGGAAAAATATTTTGCGTCTTTTATTAAGTTTAGCGTATAGTGGACGTCTGGAATGGGATGATACTCTCGTTTAACCGCTCGGTTTAGTTCCCTCATGTCGACACAAATCCTGGGATTGCTGTCCTTCTTGAAGGTCACCACCATTGGCGAACACCAGTCCGTGGGCTCGTTGACTGCCGATATGATTCCCTCTTCAACCATCTTCTCCAGAATAGTTTTGACTTTTTCGATCAAGGGAATCGCAATACACCTCGGCGATGTCACCGCGACCGGCTCGACATTGGGTTTCACCGTCAACTTGCATTTTCCCGGGATCTTACCAATTCCGTTGAAGAGTTTTGGAAATTTCCGCTTTACGTCTTCCAACGATAGCCCGGGTGGGCTGGAGATTGCATCGATCTTCTTCACCAGGCCTAGTTTCACTGCGTCCGTTCTCCCTAATATTGGCTGGAGTAGGTTATGGATGTAGTAGATAGTTTGTTGAGTGGTCTGGTTCTTGTAGGTTAGGGTAGCCCGTTCAGTCCCATGTATCTTGAGTGTTGTAGTATCCGGGCCTGTTAGTTTTTTCGTCGAGTTGGTTAGTCCTCTTCCTTCTGCGTATTCTGGCGGGAGAGCGGTGACGTCGCTGCCTGTATCGATTTTACATCGAATATTTTTCCCGTTGATCCGGACCACAGCTGTCCAGTCGATGCTGCCCACTGTATTTTCGGCGTCAATCGAACTGAGGTGAAGCATATCGAGCGCCAGATCGTCCTCCTTCACCGTGCATACCTTTTTCTTGAGTTTGCAGGCGTTAGCGAAATGGCCTTTGTTGTTGCAGTTGTAGCAGTTTGAGTTTTTGGCGGGGCATTCTTTCCGATCGTGTTTTTCCCGCCCGCACCATTGGCATGAGTTTGATTTGTCCAAATTCTTCTTAGATTGCGGATCCGGTTTTTGTATTGTTTGCTGCCTGCGTTCTTCTTTTTTTGATATTTCGGTTGCGACGATACTTGATTTATGCTCGACTGATTGAGCTGTTCGGTCTGTTTTTTAATTTCTTCTGACTGCGTTATAGTTTTGACCGCCTTGTCGAGTGTCAATGTATCGTCTAGTTGCATTTTCTCGCTCAGTTTTTTATCGGCTATGCCCACGACGATTCTATCTCGGATGAACTCGTCTTTTAGGTTGCCGTAGTTGCACTTGCTTGCGAGGTTATGCAGCGCCGTTACGAAATCGCACGCGGACTCCCCGGGATTTTGTATGCGGGTATGAAAGCGGGCTCTTTCGTATATAACATTTGTTTTTGGCGAGAAATGGCCTTCGAATCTCTGCATAATCGTATTATAGTTTTTCTCCTCGGCCGCGGTCAATGCGAAGGTTATCATTATTTCGTCGGCTTTTTCTCCCATCAGGTAGATTAGGGTATTTACCTGTTCTTCCTCCGTCAGAGTGTTTAGTTTTGAGGCGAGTCTGAATCTTTCGAACCTTCTTCTCCATCGTGGCCAGTCACTGGGTGAGTTGAAGTCGAAAGTTTCCGGCGCGGCGATGTTGTAGGATGACGATGCCGCTGCGATTTGTTGGTTAGCTTCGTTAGGCATCGTGACGACTTTATGTGCTCGTTCTGTTTAGTGGATTATTCGGTTTTTACCGCTGCCACCATGTTGTAGTCAATGAGACGCAAGGTTGAACTTGTGATTAGTTATTTATTAACTAGCTACACGTATGTGGAATATGCACGGTCGTCACAGTGATCCAGCTCTTACGCCGGGGGGGGGGGGGGGTCTCTATGTAGCGCGCGTGTGTCTCTAGATGTGTGACTCGACGGACCGCGACGGGACTCGCGGCGGTGACGCCCTCTGTTGGCGCTCATACAACAATATTTATGTAAAATTTTAGATCGATATCTTGAATAGATTTCAAATACTGATTTTTGTCCATGAAATCGGGCGCTGCACAACGCTGTGTGACGGTTTTCAAATTGTCGACGTAAAGTCCGCATGGTCGGGCGATGATCATACATATCTTTCATCTTGGATAATAACTCCCCGAAGGTCATCTCCAAATGCTCTGGACTAGAGTGGAACCACTCCGACGCGCTACCTCTCAATTTCAAGCCAAGTAATATCCTCGCCGAATCATCGTCCAACTGATACGTATCCTTAAAAAAACGCGCTTGTTGTTCCCATTGCCAGTATCCGTCATGAGCTCCGCTAAATTCTTTTAGCAATTCCGAAAGCATTCGAATATTCGTACGCGAGTGACCATTCGGCGGATGTTCATCGTTATTCCGTGCTCGAGCCATTGCCAACTCTCTTCGAGTAATCTCCAATTCTCGCCTCAACACTTCATGCTCTCGATTAGGAAGATCCACTTCACGATGTAACTCCTCAGCATTTCTCTCATTCGGTAGTATCATTGGTTGCTCATCGCCATTTCTCCTCCATTCCTCCGATGGATCAAATTCGTTTAAGCGAGCGATCAATTCGGCTTTGGTACCGCTAATCGGCAGCTGAAGGGCATGCAGCTTCGTCCTCAGCTCCGCAACCGTAATTGTCGTTATCTCTCTTATTGTTAGCGACATATCTAATTAGTCCGACTCAAATACCTGCACTCCCGCAACAATAGCTTCCACTGTGAAAAGACTTTGTTCGAATTCCTTTTATCCTCCACGTTCACTGTCCCCTCTAGCAAATCCCGCGATCGCTGAGTCACTCAAACAACTCCCCTCCCCGGAATTTTGGATCGCGATCCAGCTACACGAACCGAAGGAGCCGCTAATGACAAGTTCAAATGCTAACCGATTCAGGCAAGTCCGCGAATATCAGAAACGAATAACCGCGGGTCTGTTTCCGCGTCCGATGATTCGCCACAAACCAAAACTGCCCTCTTGCAACCAACGTGATTGCAGAGAGACAGTCTTCCTTCAAAAACCCGGCATCACCAAGCACCAGTGTCCGCACCCTCAAACCGCGACACTCCGAAATCTTACAGGCGGTACTACGGTCGTTTCGAATCCCACTTCTGAGATTTTGTGGGGGATCACTTTTATGATCAGGATACCGTAAACTATCCAATATATACACCAGGACTCGATTACACGGGATCGCCCGGGAACGTTACCAAGAACAGCAAGACCAATTCTTTGAAAAACTTATTTTATTACTTGTCACCTCAACTACCGACACCGGACTGACTCTTCCACACACCCTACTCTCTCTCTTGTCAGCCAGCAAAGTCTTTTTGACCGAAAACAGCGCTTTTCATAATAAACGACGGATAGTTACGTATAGGTCATTTCAATATCCTACAATGTCTCATTGTCAAGACAACGCCAGGGCATTTTAACAGCAATTTCGGTGATTGTTTAATATTGAATATTTCCCAAGTCACTCTTTTCACATTCGCTGAAACCGATTCACTCGACTGATGGACTTTGAATGAAGGAAATGATACCAAAAAACAAATATTTTTTTTACATGGAAATCCCTTTGGATACCCGACTCTTCGGGGAGAGCCTCGTTGAAAGATAAAAAAGGGAAAATAACAGATAGAATGGTATCAGGCCCTTCAGACGGGAATTTCGAAATATAAACTTCACAACCCATAATCTTAACGATAAAGTCACTGAAGGAAGTGATACCCAAAAACAAATATTTTTTACATGGAAATCCCTTCGGATACCCGACTCTTCGGGGGGAGAGCCTCGTTGAAAGATGAAAAAGGGAAAATAACAGATAGAATGGTATCAGGCCCTTCAGACGAGAATTTCGAAATACAAACTTCACAACTTGTAATCTTAACGATAAAGTCACTGAAGGAAATGATACCCAAAAACAAATATCAACCGCGACAAGAAGGCGATAACGACTTAGTTTATATTGTTACTAATCGATAGCCGTTGAAAGATAAAAAAGGGAAAATAACAGATAGAATGGTAGTCTTTGTACAATAAAAATGTATTTAAAATATTCAGTTGGTTATGTAACATAAAATAAATATATTTCTACCAATATTGCATTAATGTCTTTTTCCACACGTATCCTATACTTCTTTCCGTTTGTGCACTCTCCCTTCCACAGTATATTTTTAAATTTATTAATATCTCGATCTTATATGTATGGGTAGGAAGCAGAAGAAAAATGTTAGTGGATGAAAATTTTATTTTATTATACAATTATTAATTTTTTCGTTCATCACCTCGTTTTAAGGTTTCAGCAACAAGTTCATCTACAGCATAAACTATTAATTCACAATCTATGACAGAAGTTTTATCATATACCTCGTACAGTATACCAATTGCATCATCTCTCCCGGCACTGGTCATATTACTTTGCAAACAACACACAAATTGATCGAAGCTTTCATTTACAGCTTCTACAGGGTGTGTCCTAATACCCGTATCACCCGTAACTGGCAGATAGACCGGGGCAAACTGAATAGAAAAGTCCTATACCATTTTGCAAAATTCGCAATTGTTATCGAGAAATAAATTTTAATGTCTGAGCGAATGAAAGCGTAGACGGCGGCGGCAGGCAACGGTGGGGCATCATCTAATAGCTCACGCAGCGAGCGGCGAGCTTCAGTACACTCCCCGCTCGCCCCTCACCGCTCGCCCCTCGCCGCGCGTCGTTCGCCGCTCGACGCTCGGCTCTCGCCCCTTGCCCCTCACCCCTCGTCCTTTACATGTGGTCGAGCATTATCATAAAGCAATATGCATATTGCAGGTTGTTTAAAGC